CATATCATACCCCTGTGAGGACCTTTGTTGCCCATTCGTTTGTTCCTTGGACTTGAATGTTATGCATGGTTAGTTGTGGTTGATAAGTGATCTTGTTGAGACTTGCATTGATTCATGAACAAGGTGAGAACTTTTCGTTTTCCCATTTTTGGCGACCTTGAATGTCGTTTGTGGTGGATGTCGGTATTGCTTGCAACAATCCATGTGTTAATTGCCGAAAGCCATTGAGATTCGCCACTTTGTGCCCTTTGAGTTGTCCCCGAAGTATTTTGTTAGGTTGAGATATTATCTTGTGTGAAATGGTTTGCTTGGGGTCAAGCTAGGGAGGCCAAACCATCCAAAAAACAAAGGTTGTCAAAATATTATCTTCATTTCTCATTTATCTCAACTTCTAGCTTAGCTTTCTTTACTCGATTTTCGAAAGTTTTTTGAAATACTCACCATTTTAAACCAAGAAACCAATATAAACACACTGATTTACAAGTTCCAACCATAAACGAGGAGATTTTTAAAAAAAAATTAACATCATACACCCACAGTTTCCATTTTCAACAACACCCCCAATAAAAATCCCAGATTTCCAAAACCGGCATATTCATCCCCAAAAATCATATTAGCACGAACTAATCATGAGACCTAAAGATTACGAAAACTCACCCAGAGAGAAACCGAACGACTTACTGTGTCCTCCAATCTTTCCTCGCGGTAAAAAACCCCAAGCACAAATAATATCGGTTTACATGATTATTGGCATATTTAGTAAATATTTGTTTCATACACGTATGTATATATATATATATATATATCTGTATGTATTTTATCCGCTCAAAAATTGTCAAGACGTTTCATTTTTTTAAACACATATAATATCCATATTTAATGAACTAAATTGCCAACTTAACTATAATTTTTTATATAATTTTCTTTTTAAAATAATTAATTTTATATATTTTACAACTATTAACGTATCATTACTTTTGAGATGAAATAAAATACTCATAAATATATTATACATAACTTACTCGTACTATATTTTACTAACTATGGTAATTGGTTAGCACCTCCCATTGGTTTGAGTTGGTCACAATTACTATTGTTATTGGAATAAGTTTTATTTTGAAATTTATAATATTTACTAACACATCTAGTTAAACGAGAACTAATTCATATGAGGTTGAAGTTTGTACAAAACCTCTTGGTTGTCAAAGCCTCTAATGTCATATCAAAACCTAATTTGTCACAAGATAAAGTTAATTATAACACTTTCTTACACGCCACCTAAAATGAAATCCCAAGTTATGAGCATGGAGTTTGCAGTTTGCACAGATCCACTAAACATTGTACTTAAAACAACTGTTAATCTTGGAGGTTGTAAAAATTGGCACACCATCCATTGACCAAACAATTATGATGCTATATCATAAACTAGTCACAACAGAGCATAATAATTTATACATTTACTAACATTTCTTCTGCTCATTGTCAATTGTCACTATCCTAGAGCTTAGATATTTCTCCTCTCAAATTTGAGTCTTTGCATCTAGCTACTTCCATGACTCAAACTACAACTGCCACTCTTCTTTCTCATAAAGGCAGCAACAACAGTTGGAAGTTCCATGAAATAAAATATCCGAATTCTCAGTCATGTTTGCTTCTTGTTTACTGAAAGCAAGTTACATATTGTTTCATGGTAAGTTCTAGGATTTGCTCGTTTCTTAATTATAAGATCGTGCACAGAGTACAGGAAACTAAGAGTGATTTGTTACTTTGTCGGTACGATCTTAGGTGCCAAAGGCTAAAGTAACCTCATAGAAGAATTAGAGAGTAGAGATTTGGAGAGGAAGAGAGATAATATGTCAATACTTTGATTGATTTTTCATTCCTAACTTTGAGGATAGAATGAAATCACATTATATAGACCGTGGCCTGAAATTTTAATCGATTAATCGTAATAAACACTAAAGTACTACTTGAGTCACTAATCGTCTCATCGATTAATCGTAATATTATTTTTTCTTTTCATTGTTTGGGTTTGACAGTCCTGAACCTATATTTGGCATGAAATGCAGGAGTTCATATAGCCCGAAACAACCCTAATTGCTTCAAGCACACGGAACAGATCTCAGCCTCCTTGTTTCCACATCCACCATAGTAAAAAACTAGCGTGGCCCCGGCCATTTGGCCGGAGGAAGGTGAGGTATGAAATTTGATAATGTAATGGGGTGTATAGATTATTGTTGTATAGTTTTTTTTTTGGGAAACACGTAACAAAAATAGTGAATTTTAGTAGGAAGAGACATGAATGATGCAACGAATCAAAAATCAGCCTTATGAACTAAAATCAAGTACCTGTTACCTTGTGAAACAATATTGTTTCCGGTAATATGATGAGGTGGAGTAAGTTTTATAGAAACCGAATTCCAGAAAATCGAAAAAAATCGCCTACCCTGCCGGTTTTCGGGAAATGAGCATCTCACAATCGTTGCTAGCTTTTACTCGGCCCGTTGACCGATTAATTTGCTTTATAAAACTTTCATCTTGTCATCATTGTGTTTTGTGGTTTTTTGCCAAGCCATGATAAAATCTAAAGAAATCAAGAATGAACAATAAAATTTGGGATAGGAACCACAGTTCCTGTATCCCTAGAAAATGGTGGTAAACACGTACTCACCTGCCAAACTGGTTTGGATTGAGATTTTTATCGGGTATCAGGAAACCATGTGATTATAAATTAGACTTGATCAAAATGAGCCAAAACTTGAAATTCAGCCTGTTTGACCGACCCATGTCAAACTCTAATTATTCTTTACTTTTAAACTTTCTATTTGAAAATAAAAAATAATGAAAGAAAAGAGATGATTGCAATTCGCCATTTGCACTTCACTGATTCGGGAATAAAACTATAGAATTTCGAAAGGAAATTGAAAAATGTTTAGGATCATTTTAATGTTAAAAATAACCAAATAGATCTTTCTGTTTAGTTTTTTACTAACAAATACCAAACGATTCCCTATAATATACACTATAATTTAATCATTATGATATCAAATAATTGCATAATATATATTTGAAATGATAAAAATTGGACTAATTAGATTGGTCGAGGTTGAACCATTGAATAACTTTAAAATACATTATATTTTAGCCACTAAGATATAAAATAATAGCATAATATATATTATGCTAGAGAAAATAGCTTGTATTAGAATGACAAACGCATGATGTTCATTTGTTTTACTTGATAGGCAAATCCCCTGTAGGTCAGGCCCATTCAACTCTTTTATTTTATTATTAGCTGTTAGCCCATTAGAATCCATGCATTAGTTTATTGTTAATTTTTTTTTCATTTTAGCAATAAAAAGGAGTATTATTTTTGTCTTTTCATATATATTTTACCACCACGGAGAAATAAAAGGACTTAAAGAAAAAAAATTGACACTTCTAGACCCGTTTAAATCCGCATGTGTACGGTAAGTTGACCCGTTCGATAGAGGAAAAAGAAAAAAATTGAAACTTCCTATTCTACCCTTCCTACAAACGCTCATAGAGTAGAGAATTTGAAATGGGAGAAGAGTTTTTTCCTCTCCTGAGATTATATATTTTTAATTTAAAAAGATACAACAAATGTACTTAGTATTATTGGTCATGATCTTTGATTTTCTTTAAAGTGGTCATGGTTCGAATCCTAGTAAGTGTCTTTTTAATGAATAAAAAAAAGTAATTGTGAATACCAAAATGTCCTTCCTACTTTTACTCTGGATGCAAGAAATTTGAAATGGGGCTTCAAGTTTTCTGATTTGGCTTTTATTTATTGTGTAGATATCATGAAGAAGTATAAAAAAGAGGGATAAGTGGGTTGGTTAAGAAGAGGAGGGAAAAAGGCCCAGTACGCCATCAATTGGGAAATTTTTTAAAATAAGAAAAGGGAAAATCGTATATGCCGCGTGGACTTTTTGATGAGTAGAAAAAAGGAAATCCCAAAAGGAAGTTTTCTTTTCAACTGTAATCCAAGCGTGAATTTTTGGAATACCATCTGCAATAAAACAGTAATTAAATTAATACTATAAAATTTGTCAACGTTAATTGCCAAACAAATTTACGATAAAAAGTAATACAAAACAAACTTATAAAATAACGTTAATCGCTAAAACTCAAAACACAAATCGCAAAACAGAAACTTAAAGAAGAATAGGAAGATGGGTGAAGTGTTGAGGTTTCCGGGGTTGCCTTTTATAGACAAAATGTCAAGTGAAAACCGCCCCCCAGCGATTTGCACCAGACACGCAACCCCACACCTGCAGCCCCCTGTATGCCGACATGTCGGCTGTCGGCGGAATGGGGACTATACATAAACCGCACCCCCAGCGGTTTGTGTGTCGACAACATAAACCGCTTATTAAATAAGCGATTTCTATTCTAGACGTAGAACCGCTCTATCAACAAGCACTCTATTCTAGGTCAGCCAAACCGTCTCCCCATGTGACACTTTTCAAGAAATGATGGTATTTGTGAAATTTTTCCAAGTTGAGTGGTATTTTTATATAAAAAAAGAGTTATAGGTACATGCCCCTTTACTATGCAGTTTTATCAAAACATGCCCATCTATTATTTTTTACATCAAACATGCCCCTATACTTTGTAAAAACGATCAAACATGCCCTTCTGTTAAAATTTGCATAAAAAATCATCAACCATGGTCGAACCTTGGTTTGGGCGACACCTATGTCTAAAATATTCCTAATAATTTCACTTTAGAATTGTTTTGTTTCTTTTGTATAGCCAAATACCTCTGATAATTTCACTTTAACGAGACTTGGAGAAATAAATGAGGAGGAAAAACTGACATTTTACCCCCAATTTTTCGATGTCGGGTCGTGTTAATCTCGGTTCAATCGTGGTTGACCATTTTTAATGGAAATTTTAACATAAGGGCTTGTTTGATAATTTTTCCAAAGTATAAGGGCACGTTTGATGTAAAAAATAGTAGAATGACATGTTTGATAAAACTCATACTAAATGGGCATATTATACCTATAACCCTAAAAAAAAAAATTAATCGTGATATTTCTGAAAAAAATCCATTTAGTTGTGGGTCGTCCTTTCCTTTCTCCCCTCCATCCTTCTCTATTCACATTCCATGAGCTAATGAAGCAGAATGATTAATTGAAACCAGACAACAAAGCTTGTTTCTTTTCACCCTCATTGCCCATCATTCCTCCTCCACCAACTCCTCTCCCCTCCCTTATTCCTTATCTTTTCCCCCTGCTTTGTTTCTTGCCCTCTTCTTGTTTGGTTGGTGCGCAATGCGGTGGAATGACTGGAATAGTGTTTGTCTTCAATGAAAATGAGGGAAAGGGAAGGAAAGGGAAGTGATTGAGAAGAAGAACAAAACCCCAGCAGAGTTGGTTCCTTCTTTCTCAACAATCCTTTCCCCAAGTAGGGAAATTTCTTCCTTTCCCCCTTTCTGCATTTTTGGGCTAAAGATGAGGAAGCATGGTTGGCAACTTCCATATCACCCACTTCAGGTATCTCCTTTTTAACTGAAAATTGTGCAACTTGTGTTCAAAAAGGTGGCATCTTTGTTGAAATCCCGAGTGTTCTGAAAATTTTACTTCTTTTTGGTGTAGGTGGTGGCTGTTGCTGTGTTTCTGGCTATGGGTTTCGCATTCTACGTGTTTTTTGCTCCTTTTGTGGGGAGGAATATGTTTCAATACATTGCAATGGGAATCTACACCCCTCTGGTAAAATCCCATTCCCGCTTTCCCCCTCTCCGTTTTGTTTCCTTTCCTCCTGCAAGATTGCTTTGCTGAGATCTATACTATCAGTGGATAATTTTTCCTGATTTGTCTCTTTTTACATCCATGTCTGTCTTTTTCTTGTTGTCTCTTTCTTTATTCACCTTGTTGTTCCAATCTGTCTATTTTTGAATTTCCATCTAATGAATGGCTATGGGGTTGGAGCTTCTGAATCCTAATCACACTGTTGATATTTGGTCTGAATTCATTGGATTCTCTAATTAACTATGTTCTGAGACGTACCAATCAGTCAACATGAAGGAGCTCAAGAGAGCAGAAATTCGAGGAATTGGGTGACTAATTCTGGTTTTTGATTTAGGGTTGCTTCAGTTTGTTTGGTGGCTTAGTGTTGGCGATGGTTCCTTACATTGCTTGGAATACTATTGTTTTACTCCAACTTTTCATCTCTTGGATTAGATTAGTCCAGTGTGTAACCTTTCTCTACTTTCTCATCTCTGTTTTGGTAATTGGCAAGGGGGATAAATGGGCTGCTTAGCTGTCACCTTTCACTGACTTCTGAATGAACTTACATAGCAACTGTTCCATAATCTCTGGTTAGCTCAATTTCCCACTTACAAGCTAATGGTGGTTGCTCCTTAAATGTCCTTGAAATCAGGCCATGTATTTTAACATCATCTGTTTCCCTTTCCAGATCATGTGCGTCTTCGGCCTATATATTTGGTGTGCAGCATCTGATCCTGCAGATCCTGGAGTTTTCAGATCCAAGAAGTACCTTAAAATTCCAGAGAATGAGAAACATCCTCAGCATAAAGACCTGAAACAAGGTACGGAATCAGCCTCATCAATGCAGGATGGGAATTCATCCACCATTGGAGGGAAGTCAGTTGAGAAGGGTGTGGGGGAGGGTGCAAATGCAGCTGCAGCTGTAACAGACTTGAAGAATGAGACCAAGGCAAAGTCTTCTTGTTTGTTGTTGGCTCTCTCTCCTTTTGCTTTCATATGTGGTAGGTGCAATCCAAGTGATAAACACTCTGAGCAGTTGAGTGAAGATGGCATGTTCTATTGCAGTTTGTGTGAAGTTGAGGTTGGTAATTATTCTTTATCTCAGTTCTTGGAAGATTTATTGAGATATCTTATTATTGAATTACGGTTTTCTGCCAGGTTTTCAAGTACAGCAAGCATTGTAGAGTTTGCAATAAATGTGTTGACCGGTTTGACCATCACTGCAGGGTAATACAAGATTCATAATTGTTTGAAAAAGCTTTTAACTTTGTCTCACTAACTCATTTGAGGGCATTGGTTTTTGCAGTGGATTAATAATTGTATAGGCAAGAAGAACTACAGAAAGTTCTTCACGCTCATGGTCTCTGCTCTCCTCTTGGTAAGTGCCGGATCTACAGAAGCCTTATCTTCCAAGTCAGTTTCAGTTTTGTTGTATTCTTAACAGGTTATGTACATGGTTTCTGCTCCTTGGGCTTGAGATTTACAGCTTATATTCCAATGGGCAACTGGGATTCTTGTACTTATTTGCTGTTTCGTCGAGAAGAAACGATTTGTCATGGATATCTCATCCAAGTTGGGTAGCAGTTTCTCTATGGTGCCCTTTGTGATGGTAGTGGTGAGTTTGCTTGCTAATCATTTCTATTGCTAACTTGAATTCAAACCACCTGATTATTACTAATTACTAACAAATTCCCATCTCGCCACTTCATTAGCATATGATTCACATTTGCTTTTGCAGGCATTGTGCACCATTTTGGCCATGCTTGCAACTCTGCCCCTGGCCCAACTGTTCTTCTTCCACATCTTGCTCGTAAAAAAGGTTCACTAGCCTCACTTTGAGCTTAGAATGCAGTTCTGATAAACTAAGTCCCATTTTAGTAGAAATGTCAACAAGCTGATGACTGATTAACATTACTAATCCTGATGCCTCAGGGAATCAGCACTTATGATTACATAATAGCTCTAAGGGAGCAGGAACAAGAGCAGCAAGGAGTCGGAGGTCAGCAGAGTCCTCAAATGTCGCAAGTCAGCTCACTTACTGGACTAAGTAGTGCCAGCTCGTTCTCGACATTCCACCGTGGTGCCTGGTGTACACCACCTCGACTGTTTCTTGAAGACCAGGTAACCTTAGGCAACATGATGTCTGTTTTCATTTTCCTGTTAGTTCGAAATGCAAGTGGAGAATCTCAATCTTTCAGACCTTTCTGAATTCTGCTGATCACTATTTTCAGTTTGATGTTATTCCACCGGACACTGGATCCGTAAGTTCCTATGGTAAAAATGCGATCAGAGAAGACCCAACGAAGAAAAAAAACCCAGCTGCCGTAAAGATCAGTCCTTGGACATTGGCTAAACTGAATGCTGATGAGGTCTCAAAAGCTGCTGCTGATGCCAGAAAGAAGTCCAAAATCCTACAACCTGTGATGAGACAGGAACCATCATTCTCGCTAGCGAGAGATAACAGCTTTGGAAGCAGTGGGGGCCGAATGGTCTCTAGACTTGACAACAGAAGACGAGTTAGCAAAAGGGTAAGACTCCCAGCTGATTTGCCAATGGAGCAGCCTGTAACTGCTGTTGGGGTCTCAGCAGGGAAAGTTTTCACGGGAACTTCTTCCTCAAGTTTAGCCCCACTTCAGTTCGAGGCTAGGAGTGCTTTCCAGCCAAGTAGAGGTTCAACGTTGGCAAGCTCAGTTGGCGTTGTTGCTGCATCATCTCCTGAAAGCAGTAGCGTAGACTCGCCAGATATTAACCCATTTCGGGTTTCTTCATCAGGAGCTGAAGATTCAAGGAGACTCACTGGTCTCCTTCCAATTGTGGGTGGTTCTAACAGTGGATTCCCTCTCTCGAGATCTACTAGTGATGGGTATGAAGCTTCTGGTGGTGAAGATAGTGATAGGGTTCCTACCAGGATTGTGCAGAGATCGACTAACTGGAGCAATCTTCTCTTCCAGGCGAATCAGGATGAAGGGATTATGAGACTGAAAGCAGCAGCACCATCATCGAGCCAAACTTATAGTGGAAAGCTTTAAGCTTTCGTTTTTGTTTGCCGGTCTCCCTCATGCATTTAAACAATTCTTTCATTCTTGGGCCAAAGTGATACCTGGGTAGTTGGCCAATTCACTTAGCTTATTGATATATATTTGTAGTTTGGCTTCTGGATTCAGAAGGCGGGTGGTGGTTCAAGGTGGAAGAACAAATGCCAATTGAGCTCATTTTGTACAACTTATTGTGCTCTCTCTCTCTCTCTCTCATCCAATGCAGTTTGCAAGAACAGCTTTCCCTAACTGGAAACTGAGGATATGTGTAGTGCTCATAATGTTAGCTGCATTCTTATGAATGGCCACCGCAGCATAGGACTAGAGCTTAAATGCCTTAATCCATGGTCTCACCATTACATCATAAAAATCAACGTAAATGACCCATTAACTCCACTGATAGTTCCAATGTGAAAATGACCTTGATTTCCTTTGATCTTATATATAGTACATGTACATTACAGTAAATACCCAGACACAAACCCCAGCATAATAAAAGCAAACTCAACAAACGATTCCATCAGTAAACTTCAGTCTATAACGTACTATTATTCACAAGATCCATGGTTCTGAGTTACAAAATGAAGAAACCGTCTTTGTTACACAAACACAAGGACAGGCACAGAAACAGAAACAGGGGGAAATTGCTCGTTCTTTCTTATCAAGTGTAGACAACAGAAACAAGATGAGGCACCTTTTCATCATCGAAAGGCAAGCAGACATACTCCCTCGCGAATTCCTGCGCAATCTCTGAAGCAAGCTCCCCGCGAACAGCCTTGCAGTACATATACAGAACCGTCTGCGCAGCGAAGAAGTAGAGCAAAATCAGAGTCAAAAGAGCGGAAGTCACCACAATCTGAGCCACAAAGAACCAGCTATTCCATCCTTGGCTGCCGCCAAGGGCGTCGCCGCCCAATTTCGCGGCTGCAATCGAGCTGGTCCAAGTCAATATCCCGGAGACGAGTCCAAACGAGAGGAAGAAGTAGAGAACCGCTCGCCGCATCCCTTTCACCAAATACCCGCTGCGCCTCAATGCTGGAACTCCCCAGCTGGATTCCGCCACGACGATCACGGAGGAGATAGACCAATTTACTTTGAAATAGAGGAGAACGGCGAGCAGGACGACGGAGTAGACGACGGCCAGTGCGAGGAAGTAGGGAGAATCGGTGTCAATTTCGAGACACACCAAGTCCAAACCCTTGATTACGAAGTAGAATGAGCAGAGGAAGAGAAGCGCCACCAGGGAAAGCAGGAGCTCGACGACGATGTGGGTGATGAAGAGACGGAAAAAGGAAGTCAACCCGGATTTGATGGCGGAGACGAACTTGACGGGTCGGCCATAGAATCCGTGGAGGACGCTGTAACTGATGGAGCCGATTGCGAGGATAGTGAAGACGAAGAAGAAGAGGGCGAAGCAGGCCACGAGGGCAAGGGTTTCGATTGGGAGTTGGAGGTCGTCGTCATCGTGGTGGTGGTGGTGGTGGTGGCGGGGGAAATTGAACTGATCGGAGGATTGGGAGTTCAATTGGGCGAGGCTGGGGAGGAGCGGCGGCGGACGGGAGAGGAGGGATTTGGGGCGGTGGCCGGAGTGATGGTGGAGGAGGAGGTTGTGGATGGTGGAGAAGACGGTGACGGAGAAGGAGAGAGGGAGGAGGAATAGGACGGAGAGGGCCAGGAAGTGGCGGGAGTGGGCGTTGATTATGCGCTTCGATTCGGATAAGACGGCGGAGAAGTCGAGCGGCAGGGGCGGCGGCGGTTGGGTTGACATGGCGGTGGAGTGTGGAGGTGGATGGTGACGGAGGGAGTAAGGATGAATAGATGGAGAAATCCGATAGATTGGATTTTCAAGTATCAATAAATTAGAATGGGAGTGGAGTGCAAAGAATTTGCGGTATGGAAGTTTTGTCTTTTTCTGCGGCGGCCAATCCTGACGGTAGTCGTTTGGGAAAAGTTGGCGACAGAGCTAGGCTCCGATTGAACTTTGATCTAACAAACCAGACACAAAAGCAGGGTAGGGGGTGGTAATTGGTTTGATATCGTTTAACTATCGATACGATGGTTAATAAATATAGCTAAAAGTTTTAGTTTAATACTATTTTGAGTGATGTGTCAATAATTATTATTATTTAATAATAATTAGTTTCGGCCCATCCGGTCTCGAAATCCTGGCTCCGCCCCTGTCTACCGACATAGTAAATCTCCTGACTTAGAACACGATCAAACTTCGAGGGAAAATTGGCAACAGTCTAGGGCTTGCTTTCTTTGCTGGTGGCGCTGATTCCTATGGACTTCTAGGGTCTTTGTTTCAATTGATGAACAACTACGAACCCCTCTCCATGCTAAGTAGTTCCTTAGTTGCATAGGTACGTGAACCCAAGGGGTTCTTACCATGTAAAACTTGATGTTTCGTTTAATACGATTGTTTTTATTCATATGTGTTGATGTTTGTTTTCCTCTATTTTGTTATTTATTAATTTGAATGAGAGTTTAGTTGACCTTGGACTTCTTTGGATTGCAAGGACTGAAATCCGATTTGATTAGTTTTATGACTAGAAATGGAGGTCCTATGTGATCAAACTTCATTCAATCGAACCGCGTGATGCCTCAAGGGAGAAATACGAAGGGTCCTTGTCGCCCATCAATTTGTGTAAATTCTTTGACACAAGGTGGAATATAGCGAAATAAGAAATTAGCAGCTCGTATGCCACTTATCATCGAGGGACGCATGGCTAGGTGACTTGAGGGGAACTTGCCTATGCAATGCCTTCCTTCTCTAATCTCTCACTCATCCATTAGCTTAGATTTACTTTTCTGCACCACGTACTCTTTAACTCTTATGTTTTGCAAAACCGGAGGCACCTAAACCTCCTTAATTGCTTTCTCGTTCAATAGAACTGTACCTCTCTTCCTAGGTTAAAGGTTCTATTAAACACCCTAGTGAAATAAGATCCTGGCCTTAGGGCTAGACAAATTTGACTCTTTTCTACAACGGATCAAATTTTGTCGTCGTTGTCGTGACATCTCGCTAAACTTTGGAAAAGAAAGCAGATACGAATTCTATTATTTCCTTCTACCTATGTTTTTATTTTTTATGTCGAGTCGAGTCAGTTTTTGAGCATTTTGGGGTAACAATCAAACAGTCAAATCACTATCGAAAGAGACTGTCAATTCAATCTCCTCGGTCAAGACAAAAGCTCAAAATGAAGAGCAAACCATAGATGAGATGAAACAAGAGTGATAACTCGATATGTGCACATGTTTTTTCCCACCGTTCTTAGACTGTTTGAAGGTTTTAAGCCAATTTTATGCTAGGTTGTGCTTTTATGTTGTATTTCAGAACCTAGATCGGAAATGAAAGCTTGGAAGCGTGTTTTAGACCAACACAGAGAGCGGATGAGGTATCGGAGCTGGAGGATCAAAATACCTGATCAAGTCATCTATTCCCTGATCGGGGATCACCCTCAGGGACCGAGAATGGCATTCAGGAGGCCTCCCGGTTGGAGTGTTGCATTCCCTTAACAGGGACTCGAAGTAATGGCTAGGGAATTTTCCTTTTGGAATAAGTGGAAACACGATGTATTTGAAGATCCCTAGTGAAGATGGGAGTGGAGAAGTTGTAGATGAGGCGGTGGAACCCCTAATAGAAATTTAGAGGATCAACCCTCAATAAAAGAACCACCAAGCCTAGAGTTGAGGCCCTTACATGAGCACCTTGAATATGCTTTCTTAAGGGAGGGCTCAAAACTCCCGGTGATTATCCATGCGAGACTCAATGAAGAGCATAAGTCAACACTCATTTAGCTTGATATTCAGGGAATCAACCCACACATTTGCACCCATAAGATCAACATAGAGGATATGAGCAGGCCTGTCGTTCAAAACCAACGATGTCTCAGTCCAAACATGGTGGAAGTGGTTAAAGCAGAGATAATCAAACTGCTTGATGTATGGATCATCTATCCTATTTCAGATAACACTTGGGTGAGCCCAACCCAGGTGGTCCTCAAGAAGGGGGGAATGACAGTCGTCACGAATGAAAACAACGAACTCATTCCTACAAGGAAGGTCATAGGATGACGGGTTTGTATTGATTATTGGAAACTCAACGAGGTCACTAGAAATGATCACTTCCCACTCCCGTTGCTGATCAAGTATTGGAGTGACTCACCGCTCATGATTACTACTGTTTCTTGGATGGAATGTCGGGCTACTTCCAGATTCCTATATCCCCCGAAGACCAAGAGAAGACTACCTTCACCTCTCCTTTTGGAACATTTTCTTACAAAAAGATTCCATTTGGTCTCTGCAACGATCCTGCAACATTGAAATGTTGCATGCTCGCTATTTTTGACAGGTTAGTTGGAAACATAATGGAGGTTTTCATGGATGATTTTTTTGTGTTTGGGGACTCTTTTGCACTTTGTCTTCGGAATCTGGAGAAAGTTTTGGAGCAATGTGAGGAGACTCATCTCTAGCTCAATTGGGAGAAATGTCACTTTATGGTTCAAGAAGGGATAGTCCTGGCCACAAGATATCCAAGAAGGGTATTGAGGTAGATAGGCTGAAGGTTGATACCATTAGCAAGCTGCCTCCACCATCTACTGTCAAAGGGATTTGAAGCTTCCTCGGTCATGTCGGTTTATATAGGAGATTCATACAAGATTTTTCAAAGATCGCTCTTCCTCTTACAAGATTATTAGAGAAAGATGCGGTATTTGAGTTTTTTCAGAATGTAAGGAAGCTTTCGAAACATTGAAGAAGCGTTTGACTACTACACCAATTATGAGCACACTGGATTGGACATTACCTTTCGAGTTGATGTGCGATGCGAGCGACTTCACCGTGTGAGAATTTTTGGGGCAACGAAGGGGCAAACACTTTCAACATATCTGCTATGCAAGTTTGACATTAAACGATGCTGGAGAGAATTACACAACTACAGAAAGGAGCTACTAGCGGTGGTTTTCGGGTTCGAAAAATTACGACCTTATTAAGTTCTCTAAAAGGTTATTGTGTACACCGACCACTCTTCTCTCCGCTATTCGATGACAAAAGCCAAAGCAAAACCACGGCTTATTCGATTGGTGCTTTTGATCCAAGAATTTGATATATAAAGTGAAGATAAAAGAGGAGCAGAAAACCTTGCGGCAGATCATCTTTCTAGATTGGAAGGTCCCGAAGTTAAGGATGGGTCATGAAGAGATATCAATGATTCATTCCCCCGATCAAAGACTTTAGATTTTTCAAGCACGAGATGACTATCCCCCATGGTTTGCAGATGTAGCAAACTATGTGGAAAAAATCCAAAAGTACCACTGTTTAAAAAAAAATTTCCAAAAATACCACTCAATCCCAAAAAATTTCAAAAATACCACCCCTTTTTCAAAAACCGCCACCCCACCCAGCGGTTTGGTCGAAAACCGCTTGTCGGGGGCGCGGTTTTGGACCAAACCGCGGGCCTAGGGGGCGGTTATAAAAAAAAAAAAAATTGGACCAAAACCGCCACCCCAACCAGCGGTTTGGTCCAAAAGTTCGGTCGAAACTTCAAACGAACGTAACTTTGCATTCGGGTATCCGATCGTAGCGATATTTTTTTTTCATTTCGCATAACTTTTCAAGATCTACAACTTTTACTAGGATGAAATTTTCAAAACAGGAACTATTTGTGGATATACGGGACCTTGAGAATAACTTTACCTTTACTTTTCAGAAATCCATGTACATTTTGAAATTATGATTATATTAAAAGTTGTAGATCTTGAAAAGTTATGCGGAATAAAAAAAAAATTCATGACATTCGGATTTTGGAGCACAAAGTTATGGCCGCCCAAAGTTTGACGAAATAAAAAAAGGTCGTTCGGGGTGGCAAATGACGTTTTTTCGAGACGAAGACGGAACCCGACTGTTTGAGACTTGCAAGATCTCAAAAAGTTATTCGGATTCAAAAAATGGAGGCCGCAAACTTTTTGAGATCTTGCAAGCCGCAAACCGCCGGGTCTCGCCTTTCGTCAAACTTTGGGCGGCCATAACTTTGTGCTCCAAACTCCGAATGTTATGAACTTTTTTTTATTCCGCATAACTTTTCAAGATCTACAACTTTTAATATAATCATATTTTCAAAATGTACATGGATTTCTGAAAAGTAAAGGTAAAGTTATTCTCAAGGTCCCGTATATCCACAAATAGTTCCTGTTTTGAAACTTTCATCCTAGTAAAAGTTGTAGATCTTGAAAAGTTATGCGAAATAAAAAAAAAAATCACTACGATCGGATACCCGAGTGCAAAGTTACGTTCGTTTGAAGTTTCGACCGAACTTTTGAACCAAACCGCTGGTTGGGGTGGCGGTTTTGGGCCAAACCGCCACCCCACCCAGCGGTTTTGGTCCAATCTTTTTTTTATAACCGCCCCCTAGGCCCGCAGTTTGGTCCAAAACCGCACCCCCGACAAGCGGTTTTCGACCAAACCGCTGTGTGGGGTGGCGGTTTTTGAAAAATGGTGGTATTTTTGGAATTTTTTTTAAACAGTGGTACTTTTGGATTTTTTCCAAACTATGTGGCCACAAAGACTTCCAGATGACATGACTCGGCTTGACATGATTAAATTCTTTTCGGATCTCAAGCACTTTTTTTGGGATGATTCCTATTTATTCAAGGTAGGAGTTGACAGGATGATTAGAAGATGCGTAGATTCCTAGGAATCACGAGAAATCCTTTCGCATTGCCACATTGGGGTTGTAGGAGGACACCAAAACGAGCCTCGCACGGCGATGAAGATACTACAATCATGTTTTTTCTGGCCAACTCCTTTCAAGGATGCCACCGATTTCGTCGTTAGATGTGACATATGCCAAAGATCGGGGAACATTTCATCCCGGGATGAGATGCCTCAAAACATCTCCATCACATGTGAGATCTTTCACGTATGGGGGATTAACTTTATAAGTCCTTTCCCCTCATCTTTATAGGTCCTTTACCC